ATTCCCTATCCGCCTTTGCTATGCTATGACAATAAACAAAGCCCAACGACAGATTTTCACTACCATAAGCTTGGAGCTGACCACACCTGTCTTCTTCCATGGCATGCTCTATGTTGCCCTCTCACAAGTAGGCAAATCCAGGGCGATGTACATTCACACACAGCACCCGAAGACCAAAAACATACTTTACAAAGAAGCCCTTGATCCTTACTACATCATACTATCACTCAGCTACAACACTAATACACTCATTCATGAATTCCCACCGTCCGAAGGACGGGTACTTTGCTAGTTACAGATATAATTCGACATGGTATTCGTCAAGTACAACTCGATGAAAGCTATCTCAGTAGCTGCGTATATGGCCTATCAGTTGAGAGTCTTCGTCGCTTTTTGCTCTTATTATCATTATCATTATTATCATGAGAATTAAACGATGACTATTCTATTTATATGATTCGAGCAGTGTTCGCACTTCAGTGTTGATTTAAAGAACGTTTGATCGTGACAACAAGCGCGCGCGCACTTGCGACAAACTTGGCTCAGCATTACTCATGCTGGTTGCATGTGCTCTTGTTTACATTGTTTTTATCGTTTCGAATGAAAATGATGATGATGATGATGATGATGATGATGATGATGATGATGATGATGACAATGGCGATGAGACGCACCGCCATATTGCGACATCGCGGCGTGGAGCGCCATAATAACCGTGATTCAGTTGCACCACCAAGTATGTGCGACCAGACATCGATGCAGAGATCAACATCGACGGCAGCGAACCGTACAGTTGAGCTGCATATTGGATCTACGGTCAATAAATTTTTTATTACGCAGAGAGCTGCGGCTCTCTCATCAAAGTCGTGATATAGTGCGTGATGCGGTGTTGACGCTCCAGCGCAGCCATGCATATAGTAATGCACCGTCGGCGGAATAATCACATCAGGCCTTTTGGCCGCGTTAGTCGGTCGAAACGAACGCTAAGAGATTACACGGTGCGGTATGACATTCAGAGGGAGAAAATATGATTAGGACACGAGTTTAGATTATGCGTCTCTAACGGAGGCATCGGATCTCACAGCACTCTGAAAACTGTTCGACCCCATAACCCTTGACCTAATTCGACCGAGAAGACTGGGTCATCGTCCGTTTCCTGATTAAAAATGACGGAGAACCGGTCTAATCATTAGATGGCTTGCAACAATGCCACTAATGCCAATACGCAATTGTGATATTTTTGATTATTCTTCAGTTACATTTACATTGACGAGTTATACAAGGTCACTTAATGTCCCCATTCTACCGGCAGAATGTACGAGCGACATTGAAAGATCAACGTCTATAATACTTACTATGTTCTGTAATAGAGCTTTATATTATCAAACAATAACTTATTTCAGCTACTTTCAGAAAGGTAAGATGGTCCAGTAGGTTACGATACAGAGAACCAAATTTATTTTTATCTTTAAATTTGTTTTTATTTACTACATAGAATTTTGTGAACTTCAAAAAT